TCACCAGAGGAGTTTAGATCTCCAGAACTGTTAGGTGAAAAATAAATCCTTTGTCTTTATAAATTACCCAGTCTCAAATATTTCGTTATGGACTTAATACATGTCCCCAAGCCAGAAAGCTGAGAATAAATTTGATTTGCAGCAAATCTTCAAAAGGCTTAGAAATTAGAAATCATGGGTGCCTCTGGAAGTAGGGACTGGAAGAAGTAGCTGAAACATGTAGGACTGGTTAAAGGATTCCCAAAGTCCCTCCCAGGGCAGTCAAGTTATACAATTTGCTTTTCTCCTAACAAATCTCATAAATCTCTGTGACTTTTCAAACTATGAGTGTTTATTGCTTTATTTTTTTTTTTAATGAAAGGATGGTGAAGACATGGGAAGGAGGGATTTTTCCATTGGTGAGCATGCTGATAGCCAATTTCCTGTCTTCCTCTCTTCTCGAGATCCGGCCTTTTTAGGTCCAACACACACTGTCAGTTCAAGATCCCAAGCCAACACTGCTGCAGTGTAAGGAGATCCCATGGTGAGGACAGTCGAGCGCTGTGGCCCATTACTCAGGGGCTTGGCTTCAGTTGAAAGCGTCAAACAGGCCCATCCAGGCACTCCCTCTCTTCCCATCCTCTGCCAGGCTACAGGACCCTATTGGAGGCCCTGACCCACAAGGCTCCTATCACTCTGGGGAGTAAGGCAACCTCCCTGTGTCCAGCCAAGGCTGAAGTCATCTCTTTGACTTCACCTTGGTCTTGGAGAAGGCCCTTTCTCACCCTGGCCTGCCAAGTTACATGCCTTGCCACTTATTCACTAAAAGCCCATTTTTTCCTCAATGATTTCTGCTCTTTCTTATCAAAGCTCTTCTTGCCTGGAGTCCACCCAATCTCACCATTCTCAGAAAAATCAGTCTGGATTAGACATAAAAAAAACATCCTTTCTGGACATTTTCTCCTCTGCAAAATGACTTCTTCCTGACTCTGTCTAGCATACCGGATCCTGTTTGGGGCTCTTCTGTTCCCAAACTCACAAACATCTCCATTTTCAAGGTGAAGGAAATATTCTGGCTCTGAGAAGCCAGTGAAGTAAAATCCCCAGGATCCTGCTTCGTTGGCATTTTAAAATCTAAGCCTCTGGTGCTGGCCTGAGCCACAGTCACCATTTCTGGGAGGTGAGGGAGTTCTCCCGAGGTACTAGAAGCAGTTACCTGAAACAGAAACACTGCAGTCATTTTACTTATGGGGACTCTGTGTCTCTGAGAGCTTCTTTCTAGGAACTCCTGGCTTCTGGTCCCGTGTCTGGGACTCTAATCTATACTCCATGGGAGCACCTACAGATCAGAAAAGTGAGGGCACTCCATACCTGTTTTCCCTCTCTTCATCTTGAAGCATCATACTGAAAAAGTTCCCTGCAGTGCTGTGCAGTTGTTAGAACTGTGCTCTGGGACGTTGAATCCTTGCTCAGCTAAGTGATCTTCGGCTATCTTGGCCTGCACATAGTAAATGCTCCACAAAAGCTATGACCATTAGTTCCTCCTGCCCTTCAAGCAGGACTCGTCCTGCTCCCAAGTCACCCACTTCTTTCTCTGTGGACCCCTGAGCTTAGTTTAGGCAGATGTTGTTGCATTCATCACCCTACAACCTTCTCCCTCTGGACAATGGTCTTCTGAGGGCAAGAGCTGTATCCAATCTCCTTATATCCTCCAGTATCTGCCAGAGAGCTCAGCATTTGGTGGGTGTGCAGTAATTCTGTGTGGAACCAATACTTTTCAGATGACAGATAATGACAGGCACTTCTGAAGGACTTGGCAGGTTGGGTCAGGGCAGCCAAAGCAACATGAAAACACCCTGGTCAACCTTCCTTCCTTGGAGACCTGAGAGCCGGTTTGTCACTGCCACGCCGACTGTGGGACCTGGGAAATTCCCTTTAACTTCTTTCCTCTCTTCATGGGGGAACGATGAAATATCTACAAGGAAGAGAAGTCCCAGAAGAGGGAGGGAGTCAAATGAGTACACGTGGCTGATCCCAATCAGCAGGCAGCCAGTTCCATGGCTTTGTGTTCTGTGACCTTTTCAAGATGTCAGTTTTCAAGCGTCCTTCCCAGCAAGAGCACCCCGCTTCCCCTAAACTTCCCTTAGCATTGTGGTACCACCCAGGAGACTATTGACCACAACGTTTGTTTATAAGTACCATGGCAACCCCAGGATCTCTGGCAAGTCTAAACCACATTGCCAGCCAATAAAGCGCAAGGCTGGAACCACTGAAGCCCTCTGGACTCCAGACTGGCTGATAGGGCTGTCAGCGCATCTGCTTTCTGTCCCTGAGCAAGCATTTCACTGTGACTTTCAGGACATTTTTCTTCTTCAGGGGTCTCATATCCCTACCCTACAGGACCTTCAAAACCCATTCTTCTTGCCAGTGACCCCATTACGCTTCCAGAGCTTCCATGATGGGATTTTCAACTTTGTTTCTTTTGTTCTGATTTTAATGAGAGAATACATCAAATGTGATTTCTCACTGTTTTTATATCCTCCGCCCTTACCTGCATAATTTGGTTGCAGATCCCGATATAAAGACTCACATATGAAGTTTGGAGGGTGAGGTGATTCCAAGAAGCACCAGAAAAGGAGAGGCAGTGAGATCGGAAATAGAAGCGTACGATCAAGTCCACGCTTTTGGTGCTAAACCCACTTGGAAACTCCAGGAGCCACTTAGAACAGGTTGCCTTAAAGTCATCAACCCAAGGGGCCGAAAGATCCATAAACCAACTCATTGATTACAGGTTGAAGATGGCAGATGGCAAAGTTGGAACTAATCCTCAGATACCTGTCACCAGCTGAAAGAAAGTCCTAAAGTGTGAGAAGTCTGACATTACAATGGCAAGGCCACAGGGAACATGGGCAGGTACCCCTAGGCGCCTCCTTGACCCTGTGCCCAGGGTTGGGGGATTCGGCCATTCGCAGCTGGGAATTTTTTTCTTTCTTGTCCTGGACAGAATGATGCTGGTCATGCGCACATAAAATTTGTCCTTAGCAAAAGTTTCTTTCTCACTAACTGTGGGTCACATCTGGGTTTTTGCAGCATTCACACGCACGAAGACAGGTCTGGCTAGTGAGCCACATGTACTTCTACACTTTATTTCAAACCTTTTCAGATCATCCAAGATGACTGTCTTTTTCCATGGAGTCTTCACTTATCAAGGTTGAACAGACCCATGTTTTCGTTAGATTTTTCACCACTGTGACCAAGACCGACAAGAACAACATAGAGGAAGAAAAGGTTATTTGGGGTTCATGGGTTCAGAGATCTCAGTACACAGATGGCCAACTCCATTGCTCTAGGCTCAAATGAGAAATCATGAGGAAAGCAGCTCAGGACCTGGCAACAAGGAAATAATAGATACCCCAAAGTACACCCCCAGCATCCCACCTCCTCCTGACACACCCTGCTTACTATAGTTACCCCAGGAGCCACTTAGAACAGGTGCCTTAGAGTCATCAACCCTATGAGAGAATCAACGCACTGATTAGGTCAAGACTCTCCTAACCCAATTGTTTCACTTCTAAACTTTCTTGCATTTTCTTACACATGAGCTTTTCAGGGAAAGCTCATATCTAAACTATAACGCCCCAGATGCCTTAGTAAGGATAATCTTGTAGCACCTCCCGGTTTTTGTACAACACTTTACTTCCCTATGAAGAAACACGTCATACCACAGTGGCCACTCATGCTGAGTCCTCCCCTGTTAATTTTTCAAGAGGACATAATGATAAAGGGGTTAATTCTTCACAAGAACATGATAATTTTGAAAATGTATACCTACAGCTAAAACAGAAGTTTAATAATATATGAAACAAAAAGTAAAAGAACTTCAAAAAGAAATTTTCGAAATCCATAATTAGAGTATGGATTTGGAAATATGGGCAGGTACCCCTAGGTACCTCCCATATCAATATCTATCTGTCAATAACTAATATGTACAGTTGACAAAAAATAAAGATATATATCAGTAAATATACAGACATCTTAAACAACGCTATCAACTTGACCTAACTGATATTTAGAGAACAGTCCACACAAGAACAATATAATACACATTCTTTCTACATATACACAGAACACATATCAAGAGTTTACGTTCTGGGCAATAAAACAAATATTCATGAATTTAAGAGGACTTATATAACACATACAAAGTGTTCTCTGATCACAGTGGAATTAAATTAGGAATAAGTAACAGAGCACTATCTGGGAAACTCTCAATATTTGGAAACTAAGTAATACACCTATATATAACCGATGGGTCAAAGGTCAAAACCAAAGGGAAATTAGAAAATATTTTTAAATGAAAGAAAATGAGAACACAACAAATCAAAATGTGTGGGGTGCAGGTAAAATAGTTCTTAGGGGCTAATATGTAGTGGCATGTTATTATGATATTTATATTTGGGGCTTTTTCCCTTGTTTCTGGCTCATAATGCTCTTGCCAAGGCAAGTCGTAGACCTGATTGGGTTTTCTCTTACCCAAAGCAAGTCATAGAAACTTGAGTCTTTCCCCATTTTTCTGTCTTAAAATAAGCCATAAAGAAATTCTCTAACCGGGCCATGTCTGATGGTAGGTCTTAAGACCCTCCTTATTCTAGAGGGGGCCTGCCTGATACTCTGGCTGAAGGATGCTACACAGAGAGGCTAAGAAGAATGCTAAAGCAGCCGATCCTTTTGGGATTCCCCCACCCAGTATATTAGCATCTGCTAATTATTGCTGCTATTAACTGTATACACTTGCAGAATTGTCTTGTACTCTTGAAGAATTGGCCCGTTTATCATTATATAGTGGGCTTTTTATCCCTGACAATATTCTTTAAAATCTACCTGTCTCCACCAAAAAAAGAAAGAAAAAAGCCTTCAGAGAGCTTCTGGATCATTGAACACATAAAAATGTGTCAGAATGGCAGTTATCAATAATACAAACAACAGGGCTGGGGATGTGGCTCAAGCGGTAGCGCGCTCACCTGGCATGAGTGTGGCTCGGGTTCGATCCTCAGCACCACATACAAACAAAGATGTTGTGTCCGCCGAGAACTGAAAAAAAATAAATATTAAAATTCTCTCTCTCTCTCTCTCTCTCTCTCAAAAAATAAATAAATAAAGATATTGTGAAAAGAATAAAATTATCTTTTAAAAAAAGAATACAAACAACAATAAGTGTTGGTGAGGATGTGGGGAAAAGGCACACTCATACATTGCTGGTGGGACTACAAATGGTGCAAGCTCTCTGGAAAGCAGTATGGAGATTCCTTAGAAAACCTGGAATGGAGCCATCATTTGACCCAGCTATCCCACTCCTCAGTTTATATCCAAAGGACTTAAAATCAGCATACTACAGTGAAGCAGCCACATCAGTGTTTATAGCAACTCAATTTACAATAGCTAAACTATGGAACCAACCTAAGTGCCCTCCAACATATGAGTGAATAAAGAAAATGTGAGATATATATATATCAATGGAATACTACCCAACTTTAAAGAAGAATGAAATTATGACATTTTCTGGTAAATGGATGGAAATGGAGAATATCATGCCAAGGGAAATAAGCCAGTCCCCAAAAACCAAAGGCCAAGTGTTCTCTCTGATATGCAGTTTGCTAATTCACAGTGGGTCGGGGGTTACTTTAGGTTAGGTAGAGGGGAGTGAAGGGAGTGGAGGAGGTATGAGGATAGGAAGGATAGTGGAATGAAACAGACATTATTACCTTATGTACATATATGACTTCATGACCAATGTGATTCTACAACATGTACAATGAGAAATTATTCTCCATTTATGTATGATAAATCAAAGTGCATAATTGTATTCTACTGTCACGTATAAATAATTAGAACAAATTTTAAAATTTATAAAGAAAAAAATAATTAGAGAGAGAATTGAGGTTGTAGCTCAATGGTAGAGCACTTGCCTAGCAAGTGTGAGGCACTGGGCTCAATCTTCAGCACCAGATAAAATAAATAAATAAGGTAAAGGTATTGTGTATCATGCCCATCTAATTAATAATAATTAATATCTCATATATATATATATATATATATATATAAAATGAGAGAAAGAAAAACTAAAATAAATGAAGCAGAAGGGAGTAGTAATAAACATCAGAACAAAAATCAACAAATAGAAAACAGGAAGACAACAGAGAAAATCAATGAAAGCCAGAATAGCTTGCTTGAGATCAACATAATTGATGCATAAATAATACATTTAATGAATTTCTATCCAGAAAGATTAGGGGAAACAGAGAAAGCAAATATTACTAATATTAGGAATGAAAGATTAGGGGAAACAGAGAAAGCAAATATTACTAATATTAGGAATGAAAGAAATGGCTTTATTATCAAATTCTGCAGATATTAACAAATGGCAAGAAAATATAGCAGCTTCGTCCCAATAAACTCAACATGCTAGATAAAATGGACCAGTACTTTGAAAGATACAAACTAATAAAACTCACTCAGCATAGGTGAATCTCAAAGGACTGTGTTGATGAAAGAAGCCTGACCAAGGAAGAATGTATACTGTACGATTCCATTTATATAAACTTACAGAGAATGAAAACTAGTCTTCTATGAGAGGAAACACCAGTGGTTGCCTGAGGACATCCGAGTTGGGGCAGGCAGGGATCAGAAATGGGTGGGGGGGGATGGATTACAAAGGGACAAGCGGGAAATTTGGGGAGTGATAAATATGTTCACTATCCTGATTATAGTGCTGATTTCACCTCAATCAAGGGCAAAAACATAGGTTAAAACATCAAATCATAGACTTCAAGTTTGTATAGTTTATTTTTATGTGGGTTAAACCTCAACAAAAGTGCGGTTTTAAAAAAATTTAGTTTGGAGAATTGTTCTATAAATCTGCACTTAGAGTTTGAATTTTAAGAACCGTCTGGTCTTATTAAAAGTGAGACCTACCTGAAACAAGAAGATATATTCTCTTACGTGCATAGTTACGTGCCGTGCCCAGAGTTCTGTTCTAAAGAGAAAATGGCAGGGAGGTGGGGCTGTGGAGAAAGGGAGGGTGGGCATGGGCAGCAGCTTAGCCAGAGCTACCAAAAGCGCCACCAACACAGAACAACTATTTCTCTTGCCCACCCTCTCACCAGGCAGTACGGAGGATGCAAAGTGAGTTAAAACCATTTTCTTTACTTTTGGCCTACCAAAAGTAATAGTCACTGGCCTGAAGCAGGAGAGATTCCAGCCAGCTTGCCAGTTCCCCGGTCCCGGCCAGGCCACACGCCCAGCCAGCTCTATTCCAAGTCACCCTGTGCTGGCTAAGCCTCCAAAGGCATTGCTTGGGACCTGGCTATAGGCAGGCAAGGATTTGCATTTCTTAGCTGAGGGACTCCAGTGAGTCCCTGCATCTGACAGTGAAGTGTGGTTGGACCCAATACAGCAATTGAGATGTTGAGACGCATTTGCAACCGACTGGATGTTACTCCCGCGAGCATTTCCCTCCAGCCGACACTTGACTCAGAAATCTGAACTAAGGGTAGGTAAAAAGTGAGCAGATCTGATGGGTGGTTAAAAAAGAACCCTAGGTCTCCCTGCATAGGATTATTTTAATTCCTTAAGGAACTGTGCCTCCCACCATCCCTCCATCCGCTGGTCAGCCGTTGGTATTTCCTTCCATTGCTGGGAATGCCGCTGCTCTCTCAGAAATGCCACCACGGTTGCCCTTGGCGATCCTTTCTTGTGCAATGTCCTTTCTCAGGAAGATGAATACAAGCTGTACATAACCAAGTGTCAATCAAACACTCAGCCACCACCAGTCTCATTAAGCGAAACTAAAAGGACCCTGAGGAGAAGTAAATTTGACTGAAGCTGGGGTTCAGAGGAGAACCAGGCAAAGGGAAGAAGCTTCCTGCCACGTGGGGCACTTCCAGGCAATAACTCTGGAGCCCAGTGTGCCCATTTCCTGAGCGCAAGGGCCGTTTTAAACTCTTTGTCCACTTGTTTCATCAGTAAAACCCCTGATTTGAGAGCCATGAGCAGAAAGAATTGATAAAAGCAAAGGTCTTTGGGGACAGGACCACACTGGCTTCTCTTGGAACAGACTATGTGTCTGCAAGGGAAAGAAAGCTGCCCCAGGATTTTTCTCATCTCAATCTGCCTCTAATTAGTAGTGAAATCATACACAAGTCTCTTTCCCTCCCTGGGACTCCCTTTCTTCATCTGCAAAAGGAGAAGATTGGACTTCAGGTTGTAAACTCTGAATTTCTGTAGTCAAAGATTCAATAAAGTCCTCCTCGGATTGCTCTCAGGAACTCTGGGCTCTCAAGAAATCAGTCAGAGTCCAGCGGAAGAAAGTCAAAGTTGTCTTCAGAGACAGCCATTCTGCTTTGATTTATTTTTGCTGCATTTTTACCTTTTGGGTAATATATTTGGCACATACTGACAAAAGGAGCAATCGATCTGAGCCATGGGGAACCACAATTGTAAGGACAAAAATTTGGTCGTATGCCAAAAAAAAAAAACTCCTTTCTCTGTATAGTGATTAGGCTGCCTTTGAGGTTTCAGACTCTTAGTAGGAAAAAAAAAAATAATCCCAAGTTTGAATGTTTCGTGCAGTACTTTGTACTTTGCCTTATAGAGATTATTTTAAAATTTATTATTATTGCTCGGGTTTATCTTGTATTAATTCCTTGCGATAACATAAGCCAAATGCCATAAAGCAAAATATCACTTATCCAGGGGCATGGAGTTTAACCTCAGCCAATTTTCTCACCTGCTCTCGCAGAACCGGCTCTAGATGGTCTGAGCTGATGGGGAGGATCTTTCTTTGTTTCATTCTTCTTTCTTTTTAATTTTTAGTTGTAGATGGACACAATACCTTTATTTTATTTATTCATTTTTATATCGTGCCGACGATCAAACCCAGTACTTCACACGTTAGGCAAGCACTTTACCACTGAGCTACAACACCAGCCCTGGGGCATGTCTTTTCTTTAAGGCGATCACGAGCAAGGGATTTTTCATCTCTGACCTTACGACCAAGGGAATGATCCAAATTACCCATCCAACCTCCCCTATTGCTGCCCCATTGGTAAATCAAGCGAGTGGAGCATCAGTTAACTTTTTCTTGATGCTGAGTGCCAACGCCTCGGACAGTATGTGTTCGACGGTGAAGTATGTAGAAGGATTGGAATGAGGGACCTTCAAGGGGGAGACAGGAAGCATGGACAGCACACATCTCTGCCAGCATTGCGCCCCTCAGCCTAGCTCTGATTTCCGCAGTAGCTGCACTGGACGGTTCTGGGAGAGCTCAGACTCACCTTGAGTGACTGGTTCCCCACCTCAAGTATACGGCACAGTCTTTCTACATTCTGCCCAGGGCCTTTGTAGAACAGATAAAGTGCAACCTGATGTCTATTCCCACCCCCACCCCCCCGGCAGGGCAGTCCTCAACCAGCAGGATATGGGGTAAAATGGTGAAGATAAATGTAAACACTCCAGCCTCCCTATCTTCAGGGAGACAGTGTGACAGGCATCTGCGGTAGCAACTTTGAGAATGTAGCATGATATTTGCCTTCCTCCTCCCCTCTCTCACCATCCTCTCTCCTACATCCCTGCTCCCTAAGGGCAAAAGGGAGGCAACCCCAAAGGCTACTCAAGACCTTGTCTCAAGCTCTGCCATAGAGGGAACCCACACAAAGACAGGCTGCCTGGACTAGTCAGTTTTGTGTCACTGTGATCAAATACCCAACAACAACCATTTAGGGGAGGAAAAAAAATCTATCTTGTTTCATATTTACAGAGTTTCAGTCCATGCTTAGCCAACTTCAGTGCTCTGGACACAGGGTGTCACAGTAGAAGAGCATGGGGGAGGAAGGGTACCCAGCTGGTGGTGACTGAAAAGCAGAAAGAGGGGGAGGATCAGGGGCAGAGAAAAATAAATCCTTCCAGGAAACACCCCCAGTGACCAACTTCCTCCAGGCAAATGCCACCTGCCTATAAAAACTGTCCAGTGAGTCCATCAAATGCATTAGGTGACAGCTCTCATAATATAATTTTACCTCTGAACGTTCCTGCATTCGCACAGGTTGAGGGACACCTCATAACCAGAATACTGTCAAGTGAACTGAGTCCATGAACTAGAGGTTCTATTTCTGAGCCTTATCTGCTTCAAGTACCAGTGCAGCGGAGAAGGAAATGAGAGAGAGAAGAAAGCAGATTCCAGAACTTCACTGAGAAGTTGGGGGTGAAAATTCAACACCAGCGATGCATAGGAGGCTATGACACAGCAATGTCTAAACAAACCCCAGGAGTTCAGACTTAGTTCTTACAGCCAGAATACACCTGAGCTCAAGTTGGACTCCATGGATTGGATATGACTATGACCTTAAATATAGTCATCCCAAGGAACTTCCCAGAATCCAACTATGGAGCCAAGTATTTATTAAGAATCGAGAGCAGTCTCCCCTAGACTAATAAGAGCTCTCCAGGTGACTAGTGTGGGGAAAGGGGGAAAGATCATGAGGTAGAGAATCAGCAAGGTGGAGCAAATCAGGTTTGCAACAGAGCAGTACTGGACATCAATGACCAAAGAAAGCCAAGATGAAGGAAGGCAGAGCCAACAGGAAGGGCACAAAAACAAAAGGTCAAAGATAGCACCAGAACAAGATAGTATAAGTATGGGAAAATCCTTGTGAGCATTGCTTTTCTGATAATTATGTGGATGATTAAATTATATCCCCAGTCCTATGCACTGCTCCCTCTTGGTGCAGCTCTATTAAATAGTCTTTACCCATGACTAGCCATTTTCATTCCTGGAAAGACAAATGTCTAAACTCATCTTCCAACTGATGTTTGTGCATCAGAGTTATGATTCCATCCTGACTTGGGTTTCTAGTGGCCTGCACATGACCCCAATGGCATTATCCCCAACTCGATTCTCAAATTCCACACTCTTTTTCTTTCTTCATTTGAAGGCCCTTAGTTCTCACCTGAAGCCCAGTCCAGCTATACGCTGAACAAATTCTGGTTTTAAGCAAAAAGAATTTTTTTTGTTTTTTGTTTGTTCTTCTTAGTTTACATGACAGTAGAATGTATTTTGACATATTATATCTACATGGAGTATGACTTCCCATTCTTGTGGTTGTACGTGATGTGCTGGTTGTATATTCATATGTGAACATAGGAAAGTTATGTCTGATTCATTATACCATCTTTTTTTAGGTTTTTTAATTTTTTTTTCATTTTTTATTGGTTGTTCAAAACATTACAAAGCTCTTGACATATCATATTTCATACATTAGATTCAAGTGGGTTATGAACTTCCATTTTTACCCCAAATACAGATTGCAGAATCACATCGGTTACACATCCACATTTTTACATAATGCCATATTAGTGACTGTTGTATTCT